TGGGTAGCACCCCCAAGTACGGGGGCTACTAATTTTAAATGTGGACTGTATAAAATTATATAAAAATTTTAAATGAATGAAGGGGGGGGGGGGAGGTTACCCCATTTGGGAAAACCCCTCAAGGGAAAAAAAAATTGTACATAATCCCCCCACTTACCAGATATTCTCTGGTGGTCCCCTTGTTTTGGGTGGATCACCCATAACCTAAACCCAAATTTAAAAAAAAAACCTAAATGGCCCGTATCAGTCTGCTATAACTAGAACGGTTATTAAATTTTGGGGGATTGATGCTCCTTATTTCTCCATTCGCCAAACCCTTTTTTGATTCCTGCTACACCGACTGGTTTTTTATTCCGCAGGAAAGAGGTATCCGTTGGGTTTTTTCCCAGTTTAGAAAAATGTGATTCCATAAAATTTCGCTATCCTCAGGGACGGAAAACCCCGCGTTCACTCGGAGGGAGGGGCGATTTATTTCACTTCCTGCATTCTCTTAACTTAATGTTATTATCATTTATTACATTACCTTCACAAGGATTTAAAGTCTCATAAAATTTTTTTACACATTAGAGGGGCACTCCATTAAGATTGAGCGATGAGTGAGGATTAAAATCACGGGTAATTTCCCCCGGACACATTCCATGGCGGGGACCCCCTCACTCCCTGTCCCCACTATTATCCCCCCTTATTTTAAACCCCCCTTTTTTACGGTGGTATGTAAAAACTCGTTTCCCCCACTCTTAAACCCGGAAAAAAAATTACGACACTTTCTATTTGGAAGTGAGGCCCATATTTAAAACCTTAGGCCGCCGTTTTAGCGCCAATTTCCTGATCCCAAGGTTTACCCGCTTTCTCCCTACACTCCCAAAAAACTCCCGCCCCCTGTGCCCCAAATTCCACCTCGATCGGGCCCCACATCTGGGAAAGGGGCAAATGGGAACCCAGTTGGTTCCATTCAAAATACAAAAAAACATTTGACCCAAAAACAAACATTAAACACTTATTTTGGCAATATGGGGTTTGGAAATTTTAAAAAATTTCCACCCACAGTATGAAAAGTTTTTAAAAAAAACCCCCTAATCCGTTTTTATGTGTATGTAAATCCTATCTATTAATCCCAATCAGAGATGGGCCCTTTAAAAAGGCCAACGTTCAAAGCTGTTCTATAGCAAAACATTCCTTTTTGCCCCCCCCTCTTCTCCCCCTTTAGGCAACCCCCACTGTCTCTCGGCAGCTTTTCCCGGGTTTCCCCGTGCTCAGTCTCCCAGCTGTCTTTGGGGATATAAGCCTGTCACATCGCAACAGTATCCAATCACAACAAACCACACCCAAAATTTCCCCCCTTTCTGCAAAATGCATGCAATTTCCTCTAAAAAAATAATATAACCTCAAAAACCCCCTGACAGAGGTGTGATGGTAAGTGGGCCAAACATAGCAAAGGGGTTTTATACCCAGGGGGTTTAAAACAGTTTCCTTTCCCTTGGGACACGCCCTACAAAGATTTTAAACCTAAATTCTGCACTATAAAAATGGGGTCACACCCCTTAATCCAGTAGCTCACACGTACTCCTGACACCCACTAACCACACTGAACCCTTTCCCCCCCTTTCCATCTAAGCCATAACCCCCCCACACACACATTTCACACACAAAACCCCACACCACACCCACACACACACAACACCGACGGCCCAAACCCCTTGAAACCCCGGGTACATTTTCAATTTCCCCGCCCCCGCCCGATAAACCCCCCCCCACAAAGTGAGTAGATCCCAATAGTTAAACTACAATTAAAAAAAAAAAAAAAAAAAAAAACCCATGGGGGAAAGGGTCCCCCCACCCGATTCCCTATATTTTTCCCCGTTCCTGCAAAAACCCCTCCTATAAAAAAATAGCTGCCAGTACCCGTTTCCCGCCACCCAATCCCCCTTCCCACGGGATACCCCACGAAACGTACACGAAAATTTTCCGTTAAAAAATGCCAATTTCCATTGTTTTACTCTTGGCACCCTCCCACATTTCCAAAAAAATAGCCCCCCTCAAACACCCCGGGATGCCCCCCCTTTCCCCCTGCTGACAATCCTACTCATCCCAAACCCTAAAAAATTCCCCAAAAAATTTCCAAAAAAAAACCCCAAAAGATATTTCCCTTTTCCTTTTCAAACCAACCCCCTCCACACCCCCCTTCCCCCTTTTCTTCGTCTCGCCCGCCCCCCCCGGGGCCCCCTTTTTATGGCAAATGCCCAAACGGGAAAAGGAAAAACTCCCACACCGAGGTTCTGAGCTTCAAACCCTTTCGAAAAAAGACACCAAAAAATCTCCCAAACCATACATGGGGTATATTCCCCTCCCCCGGCCAAACCCCACCCGGGGTCCCAATTACTTCGCCAAAACCCCTATGCAAATTTGCCAGGGGTCCCCTGGGGCCATGAGGGTACGCAGAATCCTCACATTCCCTCAACTCCCGGGAAAAAAAAAAAAAAAAAACCCCCTCCACCCCCCTCCCAACAGAAGCTTTTTAAACCCCCCCCCCCAAACCCCACCCCCACATATTCCCTTCGGGTAAGAAAAAATTTTACCCAAAGCCGTAGATCCAATAAACCCCAACCCCCCCTGACGTTTCCGGCCGCATTACCACCTCCCTCCTCAGCCAAAAACACACCCAGAAAACCCCCTAAAAACCTATACACCTGCTTTTTAAAAATTTTCCCTGATTTTCCCTTTCCCCCTTAAGGGGTAAATGCCGCCCCCATGCCAAACTTTTCCGTTAGTAACGTGTTTTCCGTGGGGCCCCCTGCAACAATGTTTAAATGATATGGGCCCCAAACTCCCAAAACTAGCTGCACTCCCTTCCACAATACGCTCTGAGTTCACCCCTCTGGGCCGCACTTGATTTTCCCCTAAAAATGGGTTCCAATATCTTTAAGCTATCCCCACCAGCATTCCCCAAACCCCCTTCCAGTTCCAAATTTCCCCAACCTTTTTGAAAACAAAAATTTTCCACATTAACCCCATCCCCGTAGCCTCCCCCAAAAGTACGAATGACCCCCAAACCCCTCTCCCCAAAATTTTCCCCCTCCCATACAAGTACTGTTCCCTTTTCGTCGAGTATCCTACAATCCCCCGGGCCCCCACCCCACCTCCCCTGTCCCCAAGGGCCCCCCCAGATACGTGCCTCAATGAGGGTTTTTAAAAAAGGGGCTTGAAAAAAAAGGCAAAAAGGATTTGAGATAGTGGAATCCTTGCCTGAGACCCCGCCCCTTTAAAACTGCTTCCCCCATGCGACATTAATTTTTCAAAATTTCCCCCCCTCACCCCCTTGATTCAATGTCTTTCCCCCCCATTCCCCAACCTTTTTCCCCAAATCCCCCGCTTTTGAAGGATCTGCCCCAACGCCCCCCTTCCACACGATCTAATCCCTGCCAATCCAAAGCAAATAAGCCCCCCCTTTTCCCCCCCAAATCCTCTACAAAACCCCCTTTAAAACGTCCCTGACCCTCGACCATAGATTGCCCGGCAACCCCCTTAAAGCCCTCCAGATACACACGCCCCCCGGCACATTTCAGGCGATTTTCCCCGTATTTTCGCAAAAAAATTTGTAATCCCCACAAAAATAAAGATATGGCCCCATAATCCTTGAGGGTTTTTCTGGGCCCCCTACCCCTTTTGGGGCCAGAAAACCCCTGCTGGGCTTGCAAAAAATCCCCCAAAAACCCATTCTCCCTTTATGTTTTTCATCAAAATTTTTTTTTCCCCAAAGGGAAAACCAACATTAACTTCCAAAATTTTGCAGGTAAAATTCACAGGGTAAACCCTCAAATCCCCGGGGGCCCTTTTCCCTTAAAACATATCACTTTAAAGCCTGCCAAAAATCGCCCCCATCTATCTTCCCCAACCCCCGCGCTACTCGAAACACTACGACCCAATGAAAAATGACACTAGTCACAGACACTATGCCCAATTTCTGACCTCCCCCCTGCCAAATATGTCCCAAATACTGCTCATACCCTGCATCCCCATAACCCCTCATTCCCACAGTTTTGTCCTCAAAAACTTGCCCCCCCGATAATCCCCCCCTTCAGACCCTGAAGGGTTTAAAACCCACCAACCCCTGTGGCCCTCCCACGTCCGCTTTCTGGGCCTCGTAAAAAAACACGCCGGGTGGTCGATTTCCCCATAAAACCCCCTCTACCCTCCCCTTTCACATGCAGCGCATTAAACCGTTCATTTTGCAGCTCACGAATCCTTCCCTTCAACGTTTCTATCTCCTCTACAGGATATACTCCCCCGTGTCCACCTCTCCCATAGCAATCCCTCAACCTACCCTCTAGGTACTGAAGGAGCCCATACGATTGTTGCATCATGCGTTTCCCCTCCCTCACATAAAACTTACGTATTCGTGCCTTAGCTACCCCGTCCCACCACCCCAGTAAATCCTCTATGCCCCGCCGTTCCTCACTGAGCTCTGCCCACAACGTCTCAAATCCTCCCTGCCCCTCCTCATCACTCAGAATCCTCGTGTTTAGTTTCCAATAACTCTTCCACCTCCTGGCCAGCCCATCCCACCCCAGGTCTACCACGACCGCCCTGTGATCTGAATATTCCACCTCCACCGTACGCAAGGACTCCACTCGAACCCGCTTTGTGATGTACACCCGATCTAGCCTGCCGCATATCCTGTCTAACAAACGTGTGCTCCACCTCCCAAGCCCCACCCCCAAATACGTCACGTAGACACACATCTCTCAGAAGATCACCTAGGATAGTGGAAAAATGCCCTGCCCCACGCGGCTCGACGTCTGCCCTGCAATAACACATTCCAATCCCCTCCCACAATAGCAACAGGTGGTAAAGAACGGAAAAAATAAACGAGCTCATCCCTCACAAAATCCGCTTTCAGACGTGCATCACTCTCTGCGGGTGCGTACCACACCTAACGCCACTCGCTCGCCCATCCACCATCCATCACTCTGATAATACGCCCCTCGCCCCCCCTTCACTTCTACTAACCACAAATGGGCTCGCCTCCCGGAGTAGGACTCCCACCCCTCCCTTCAAGCGACCCGTCTGCATCACAAAAGCCCTATAACCATTCACCTCCAATACACGCCCCACCTTGATATTGTGCTCTTGCACAAATACAACATCCACTCTATGCCAGCACAAAAAACTTGCAAACCACGCACGCTTCACATCCTGGCACAAACCATTAATGTTGACTGTCATACACCTTAGGCCAGCGGTGGTTTCTTCCCCCTGTGCTTTGTCACCTTCCTCACAACACCACCATGTCCTTTCGGACCTCCTTTATGCATGTCCCTACTGGCAGCCCTAACCCCTCCCCGGTCCAGCTCCGGGTCCAAAGTCCCCGAGGGACCACCACCCTCCTCCTCCACCACCACCACCTTGCCAGTCCTCTGTGCTGGAGTCAGGACATCATCTGAATCCGATGTCACAGCCTCACGCTTGCGCGACTCCACCTGTTCCCATCCTCACCTCCTGTGACACCTCACGGTGAACCTCCACCTCCACCACATGTCTGACCTTCCCACCCTCTGGGCACAGTGCCCCGTGAGACACCACCAAGTCGATGGGCTCAGTTTGTTGTCCACACAGGTCTGCAGCATTCCTCACATCAGCCCTCGTCACCAACTCGCCCTCCCCATCGGACTGGGGAAACAGCGAGGTGAGCACATTCTCCAGGACCTCGTCAATGGCTTCCTCCGCCGAAATCAGTTACATAGATTTTCATACATAGTCAGCCGATGGGTAGGAGAACCTTAGGATAACCAAAGTCAGACAGGTGACTATTTCATTGGGGTCCTTTACCTTATTCATTCTAATATAAGTTATAATATTTTCTTATTTTTCTACAATGAAAGATAACATCTTTATTATCATACTAAAAAGGGACTCTCTACTACACGAGGGTCCATTAAGACTATCTACAATACGAGGGTCTTTACTAGGATAAGTAATATTTTTTTTTTTTTTCCCCCATGTATTTTAGCTAAAAATAGGAAAAATCATTCCCCTCCCTTTCTGATAGCTTCATTCATCAGACACTTTTTTGGCAGTTCTTCTTGAACTGGTTCATTGCTATGACTGCCTTGGGCATTTTGTGGGGTAGTCTGGTCCATTCCTTTATTGCTGTACAATAAAAAGGTGTTTGACCGGGGGGGGGGGCTGGCCACTGCTGTGGGGTACTACATGTTGTGCTCTCTCCCCTTGTACTATGATTGTATGGTCCCAACCTTGACAATAATTGACAGCAGATATTCTGGACACTGTTCTTGAGCAATTTTATAAACATGTTTTAGCTTCTGTTGTTTTACTCTGTCGTCAACATTCAGCTTATCCGACTGCTGTTAATTAATCCTGGCTACATGTTCTCTTGGTCCCAGCCCAGGATGAATCTTACAATTTTGTTCTGGGTGATTTGCAGTCTTTCTTTCAGTTTTTTGGTTTAAAGGCAGAGTACCATGAAAGTAGCAAAGCGTAATCCATATGGGGCATGTATTAGGGCTAGACATAGGGTCCTTTGAGGCATCTCAGTAAGTAGGACCCTGTGCTTGTCTATTTCAGGAACTTCAGCCTGGCATTCGCTTTCTTTACTACACTGTTCCCTATCAATTCTCCTGACATGCATGGGTCAAAGGGGATTCCCAGATAGTTTACTGATTGAAACCAACGTGATGGACTCTCCCCATTACAACTGAACATTAAAATTATTTACCGTTCTCGTTTTGTTTAGTTCAAAGAGAATCGGCTTCAGTTTTCCCTGGGGTATGATAGTTTGTTGTCTACTAAAACCATTTGCTGCAGGACTCCAGTTCCAGTGTTAAAAGTAGCATTATCTGTTGGGTCTTTTCCTGTCAACAAAACAGAGCACTATAATCTGCATACAGTAGGAGTTTGCACTTGACACTGATAGGCATTCTTTGACATAAATAAGATTGTAATGGACCCAGAATTACTACCTTGGGGAACTCCACATGGTTTATCGGCCAGGGTTCTGATTCCGTTTGGTTGATTTTTGATAAAAACTATTGTCTCCTGCTTGCTAAGGGTAGACTTTAAACCAGTTACAGAATCTATTACCGATAGCTCTTGAAGTTTCTATACATTAATATATGGTGTTGGACGTATCGAACAGGCCTTTTGCTGGTCTAGGTCTACCTACCTAGAGGTTCCCTTTTGACATTTTCAGTTCTCAGGTAATCCATCAGATTAATAAGGGTGGTATCGGTTGAGTAGGATCTTCTTAAGCCCGAGTGATAGCTATGGAGAATGCTAGTTGTCATTAAGGTATCTAAACTACTTGAGATACCACGCCCTCTCAGAAAATTTAGATATATTACTGAGTATACTAACAGGTCTTCTATAGTTGCTTAATCAGACCTATTACTTTCTTGAAGATAGGAGTAACTCTGGCCCTCTTGAACCCCTCCGCGTTACGGTATAGTGGTGATGATAGATTTATTATGTGAGCCATAGGGATTGACAGTTCAGAAGCACCATCTTTTAGGAACTTAGACGGGATGTTTTTCAGGGCCGATGCTTTAGTTGGGTTTTACCTGCTTAGTTTCTTTTTGAATGAAAGTCATGGATACACTTACTTAGTTGAGCAACTGTTTGGGTGGTTTACCTCTTTATTGGTTATAGTTTTTTAAATTATCAGAGTCTGGGTTAAAGGTATTTGATGCAGCTGGTAGTTTCTTTAGTGTTGATGCAACAGTTGTGTTAGTAGGATTAAAAAGCAATTGGCACCTTAGATGTTTCGTGGCAATACTCATTATCGATAGTGAGTACTATGTTAGACTATCTACTGGCTTATGGCTATACCCCTAACTGTTTTGTTGTTGCCAGAGCTTTATGGGGTTATGGCTTATATCTTCAATTTTTGGAGCAATTGGCTTTGCCTTGCTCCTTTTATCAGCCTCGGTACTCTGTTCCTCACCCTTTGGAATTCATTTGTGCTGCAAGATCCTGTCTGTTGCTTTAAATCTTTTTAGCAGCTGGTCTCTGAATTTAATATTATCTAATATCTCAGTATTCATCAGGGTTCAGTTCTTCGTTTAATCCTAACCTCTTTAAATGGTGCAATATTATTGAGAAATGTAGTTGAAAACATTGTTTTGAAATTTTTCCCAGCATCATTACGTCAGTGCAACTTGTGATCTCTGTCAGTCACAATTTGAGTAGCCTATTTACCTGTGTTTCTTTACTGTAGTTTCTAGGTTGACCTCATTTTATTGTCCTGTGTAGCCTTCCTATCCCTAGTGATTTTCCTGGTGCAGTAAATGATGAAAATGATCACTAAGACCTGTGGTAATGACGCCTGACTGGACTAATGTTCTCGGGCGGTTGCCCAAAGCTATAGTGGTCAATTAGGTGGACTGAGAACTGTGTGATCCCGGTTGGTTTATTAATTAGTTAGGGTGGTGTAGCTATTTATCCTAGAATTGGCTTTTACCTTTTGCATTAGCCGTTATTTTGTTGCTGAAAAACAGATATTGAAGTCGCCCAGTATTATTATTGTTTCGAAATGCTTTCAAACTCCGGACAAGAGTCTGGATAAGTCTTCTAAGAACTGGTCCTGGGTTAGGAGGGCGGTAACTTAAACTAGTTCCTACTAAGATGGGTTTGGTCTTGGGAAGCAGCACTTCAAAACCATAGAATCCTCCAGTTTATTGTTATTTAAATCAGTCTTGGGTTGTAAGCTTAGTCATTTCTAATGTATGACATACTCCACCACCCTTTTGTATTCCTATCTAAGCGTTTTAATATTGTAACCTTCTATTTGGACCTCGTCGTCAGTCACCGTATCATCCAACAAGATTCAGAGATGGTTATAACTGCCGCCCTAATTTTGTTAGCTAAAATCCTAATCTCTGCCAATTTAGGATGGAAGTGATGTTGCATTGACTTGAATAAAGTGAAGGCCTGTTTTCTAAAACAATCATTCATAATCTCAATATATGGCAATGGGGTCAATTTGTATTATAATTAGGTAAATCAATGTCATCATGCTCTAAAAGGGTAACTGTGCAAAGTGCATTTGTTTACACACAAAATGAATTCTGGCACCGTTGCTATAATTGTACTTATCCATCATGCACCACCCCTTCACATTTTACATAGGTGCCTTTTCTGTTTTTATGCATACTTTAGTACAGTGTATGCATCTGTTTGGTAGTGTTTGAGATAAATGGCTGTATTGTCTACATTGACCTAGTTTGCATTACTATGGAGTTAAGGTTCATCCTAGCTACTAGCCGTCATTAACGCCGTCATTTTTCTGTCGCGTTTTGCCTTGACCAATAGTTTGAGGTCCTGGATTAAATTTGGATATCCACCACTAATGTGCGCCTACAATAAGAGATGTGTGCCATGTTTTTGTTTGGGTAGCGGTTGTTTGCCATACCTTGCGGTGATAGTGAGGTTTACTTTTCTGGTAGGATGGCAACTGTTGGGCTTTTACTGTCCAGGGCGCTTGTTACTCCATTCCCTTTTCAAACCCCATGATGATTTCTTCTTCATGGAATTGAAGAAGAGAAGAAATATAAATATAATTTTGGCAGCCTGTACCCCTCTAATGCTGCCATTTTCACTCTTCGCTCTTTACTCAATATACATAATATTTATTTCGCTTTTCAGTCCCTGTACACTTAAGTATATGCTTTAGCAATCACACTGTATTACTAGTAAAATTTCCTCTTTCCAAACCCTCTTCACTGCTCACTTTTCCCTTAACTTACAAAAACCTTACAGTTAACCCCTTATTACACAATCCCTTCCCACTCACTTCTCAGTCTGGCTTCAACCAAATTAACTTCTAAACTCCTTTCCATTCTGGTAGACAGAAAAAAAGGTTTATCCATGGTTTTTATCTTCCAATTCCCCTCAATTCCATTTATCGGGGGTTTTGTGTCGTGTTGTTGTCTTCATGACCTGGTCTGCGGACTCAGCCATTTTTAAAACACTGAGGGGAGTACGCCACCTGTCTTTCCTTGAGGTAGGTTATAGAAATATTTGGCTTTTTCTGCTATGATTCTCTCACTGTACACTGGTCAGCTGAATATTGCGGGCAGCTACTAAACATTAACCTTGACTATGTTAACTATTCACTTCTTTCCACGAGTAAGGCATGAGGGTTAACCGTTCCTATCCCTTGGAGTTTTGTTACTGTTGATTTGACGATTGTCTCCTGTGTTTCCCTTCGTTAGACTGGTACAGGTGATATGATGGGGTACAGATATGATGCTACCGGTCAACGATATATGAACGTCAGCCAAGATGAGATATCACTTCGCTTGTTGTCGTCTGGCAGTTAGCTGCTGTTTGGATGCCGGTCACCATGTTTAAAGGCTCAAATCTTTCCCTCGTTTGGCCACTGACGAAAAAAGACTACGACTGTCATTTCTTGGAGATTTAGTTGATTCAGGTTTCTGCCATGTTGTCTTCCGTTAAACACTGGTGCAGTTGTTATGGATGGTCAGTTATTTCATTTCGTGGAAAACGTTCTCGTTCTGGTTCACATCTGGCAGCAGGTCTGATACTGGAATGCGGTTCCTCTTCTGTCATATTTTGTATTTCGATGTCGTCACGTCAGTTTTTTATGTCACTATAGTTTACTTGCATGTTGTTTTGCAGCAGTTAATTGCAAATGGGGCCTTCAATGGAG